TGACGAATAAAAGTTTCTAAACTGACGTTTTTTTAATTATACCCTACACCAAAAAGTGGGGAGGGTATTATTGATGTTTAAATTGTTAATGTTATACCCCATGGAAACACCCTGTTAGTAATGACTTATTTAAGTATTTGCCTCCAATGTCAACGTTGTGTTATATACAGTCGCCGAAATAAAGATAAGTTCACATATTTATCCCCATTTTTTCTAAGTGTAATCGACTTTTATCACATTTTTTGTTCCAGTGTATTAATACGTCAAATTTCTATAGATTTTGTTAAAATTGTTTTTTCTTTTTTTGCAATAATAAAAAATAAAAAGTTTACCATTTTTATAGCAAAATTAGAGCGAAATAAATATAAGTTCAGTGATTATTCTAGACGATTCTGTATTGGGGGTGCAGGTAAAATTATAGTTTTTCAGTGTTTAGAACCTTTTCAGCTTCTAAGAAAACTTCTTAACAAATTCCAGGATTAAAAACTTTAGATTTTCAGGTTTTTGTAAATGGGTCGTGCAAAATCTTTATCAATCAAAGAACGTGGAGAAATATCGGCTTATAAAGATCCAAATCTTTCAAATCGCCAAATTGCAAAAAAGATTGGCAGATTTATAAAATATTTCATTTTCATTTATTTATTTTCATAACATGTAATATAAGCCTAAGAGGCTAAAATAAAAATATTACATAGACCTGGTCCACACTAGGAAACTTTTGTTGAGAAACTTTTTCTTAATTCTCTTTTGAAGTTTCCTTAATGTCCACACATAGAAACTTTTGTTTCAGAAACTACGTATTAATTGCATTGATTTGTTGTTGTACGAATGAGAAGAATAACAAAACAAAACAAGTTTCCGAGTACGGGAAACTCTGTACCGCGAGAGAGATGAATGATATTCTTTCTCTCTCACGCAAAATCTAAAGTTTCCCAAAAAAAGTTTCCTAGTGTGGACCGGCAGATAGCAGTAACAATAATACCTGAATACTTAAAACTATGTATACTATAATTCATTCAATAGCTAAAATTAAATTTACCAAATTGATCAAATTGGCTCCCCAGACAGGAAAAAAAACTTATATAAAAAGGTACAAAGGTCCAATTCAGTAGCAAAAGAGTATATGAGCCAATTTAGGTATTGATACCTAAATTTCAAATACTGATATTAGTAAAATATCAGTGATTTGAAAAGAGCCTTAAAAGTTTCAGTCGAAAAGCATTATTTGAATGCGAAAATATTCTTAAATCAAAAGGTAAGTGATTCCACCAACGTGCAACCCTTATAAGAAACGATTTTCAAAAATTCGAAGATATTCTCGGTATATAAAGCTGCGGGTTTCTTATAGATCGCAAAAATATAAAGGAACTGTATAATTTAGAGCACGAAAATTTTTTTTAAGTTTTACCTATGAACCTAAAAGTGTGAAAACCATCCAGCAACAACCTGGACCACTTTTAGCTGAGGGGACAACAACTTGCGACACGAGTTTGTAGGCAAAGGGAGTAAAGAAAAAAGGAAAGTAGCAAAAGACGCACGAATCGTAATTTGAGTGTTTTTTATATCTCTTTTGTTATCGTTCGTATTTTTGGCAGTTGCTTTATTTTTATTCTGCACTTAAAGAGTGAAGATCATGTGCGATCTCTCGAATGCATGATTCAGTGTTGCCACTTGCAATATTTTGAATTTTATTTACATTACATTTATTCCAAAAATAATAAATATTTTAAATATTTGCTTGTGAAATTTTAGTTATTTTTATAAAAATATAAATAATCAAATAAATAACTATAAAAATAACAATACTTCTCAGTTAAACTCATATTTTAATAATCAATTGGTCGTTATTTCACAAAATTTTATAAATTATTAAAGTATATTTGTTATACATATTTAACACAACATTTAATTAACAAATATTTAAAAAATAAACATATGTATATATTATTAAACAAAATAATAGAAACAACATTTAAGAATCATAAATATGGCAACACTAACAAAAAATGACGAACGCCTTTCGAGTCTCCATCTAAACGTTCATTATTTTACAAAGGGCATTTAAAAAAGAATGAAAAAAAACCTGCGACATGTCCCCTCAGCTAAAAGTGCTTTTGGTCTTGAGTTGTACTTTTACTTTTCAATGACTACTGTATGTAGTTGAAGTTGGTCGATTTTATTGATTTTAAATAGGAAACTTCTTGAAAGCAGGTCAGATAGAATTATTGAAAACTTAGATCCCAAAGATATCTGGGGTCTTCATATAATACATATATACTCTATAGAGTCAAAAAGTTATATTGTAGAAATTACAAAATTAAGTTTTTCTATCTTTCCGGAAAGAGAATTTTGCTATAAAATAGTGCATAAAATAATACTAAATACCTTATTTTTTTAATTTGAAATAGTGTCATTTCCCCCTTATAAACGCATTTAAAAACTTTGGAGGCGATGTGCATGGTCTTACCCTCGAAATAATTGAATATTTTACTTTTGATTGAATATTTTACTTTTACATTTGACGTTAAAATATAACATAATTTCTATTAGAAGTTGGTCAGAGAGAAAAGCCTATTTTCGACCCACTCTAACGTACATAGAGGATTAATATTCTTTTTAGAAATTAATTTCTTAAAGTAAGTAAGATTCCATTTTAAGTTCAGATTCAATAAATAACATGAATAACTGCCACATTTAATCAATAAGAAATCAAATTCCAAACAAAAAATAATGAAATAAGCAATAAAATTTTAAAGAAATCAAAAATTAAATATTTAAAAATAAAGCATAATGCCTTAAACAAAAAATAGTGAATAAGCTAACAAATCGCCAAAATTCTTAAATTGTTCTGAAACTTGTAAATATCTTGTCCATGAGTCTACACCACATTCATATGCATATTTTGGTTTCTCTGACCTAACCCTATTATATATATTGAAGTTAAGCTTTTAGTATGCTTTGCGAAAAAGCCCTTTTTAGAAACTTTCATATTTGTTATTCCAATATTTGAGCTCCTCCCAGAACACATTTCCGAGTATACCTCAAATCAGGGCACACTTACTTTATTATACCATGCCTCAAACGATACGTAATTCAATGTCTAATTCCTCATTTCAACATTTTTCATAATCGAACAAATGATCCAAAAATCATTAAGGGTTTTCATTTAAATGTTCAAAACCCTCGTAAACTGTGCAACCTGTGAATGTTTCCATTCTCGCAATTGAATTGTATGAAAATTGATTTACACAACCCTTATAAGTTTGAGCGACTATTTAGACTGTCAAACTTGAGCAAACTCATTGTGCATTTAATAATTCTGTTCACTATTGTTCACTTTTGAGTTTATGGACTTGAATATTCACATTTTTATATATTTTGTAAAATTTTTTGTTAAAATAATTTATTTATTTTTTGATTTAGTTTGACATTGTTGTATAATGTTTATAAATATTGTAATTGAACAGAATTTGAACAGGGGTTTCTTGAAACAAGTCGAATAAACTTGCACAAATGGGAAATTTAAGCGTTTAAATAAAACCCTTATTAATTTTTGAGAGATTTAACCACTTTATATTCATGACTGCTTTTATTAATTTCAACTTCCAACACAACTTTGAATGCAACAGCTGTAAACAGCTGCGAAATGAGGCCACTTTAATGAAATATGTATAAAAGATTTTTTTCTAAATTTATTGAATTTAAATGAAACATTTGGACACACATACGATTGTTGTCAAATGTTCAATGGTTATTGCAGAAAATGATCTTATATACTATACACAATACAATTCCTTCCCCAAAAGGAAAATCCAAACAATGGCAACGGGGCAGGATTGGACACGCCATAATTGCTATAAAAGTTCTTACAGCAAATTGAATAATTTGTAAAACTAATCTTACCTTTTCACCAAAATGAAATTTCAACTATTTAAAAAGAAAACACTTTTTTATCCTTTAATTTTTCACTTAATCTGTTTTTTCTTTCTTCTTGTCAGGTACGTTTAGAGTGCCTTAAATTTTTCTCATCTTTACAAAAAAATATATTTTAATTATAGTTATTAGAAATATTTCATGTTTTCATTACATTTTCATTATAGTTAAATGTATTTTTAAACTATTTCTGATCTGATTTCTGAATTTTATTTATTGCACTTTTTTCTTGTACGTAGTTAACAAAATTATATTTTCTGCACTTGAGAAATTTGTTTTTTTTTTCTCTAGATTACTTGACGTATTAGTTCATAAAGATGTCGATAGAGGGCACAAGAGCTTAGAACTGCAATATGCTCAAATCGATAAAATTTGTAGAATAATTATTATTTAGTGCTATTTCTAAAATGAAATTTAATATTTATTGTTTTTGGTTTAAAAAATCCGTAGTCACAATTTTATTTTTACGCCATTACAGTGAACAAATATCGATGCAGTCGAATTCATGTTTTCACTCCCAAAGAATGAAATGACACTACTAATATATAAAAAATACGCACGATGGCGCCACTTTATTACACAACAGTGTGTCTCGTAAACACATATGAATATAAACCGCCGATAACAAACAAGTTTCTTTTTAGTTTTTGTATAATTTTCATAATTCCATGGAGGAAAGCAAAAGTAAAAAGGATCCCTTGGCGAGGAAGGAACGAATAAAAAAAAACCTGACAGAGGGATTAGAGAACGATAAAAAGAGTGCACCCTCAATTTCAAATCAATTTTGAAGTTTAAAAAAGTTTAAATCTACTTTTGTTTGATTTTGAAATAGTTTGGTGAGAAGACGTATATAAAATACATCAAAAAATTTATTGAAATCGTTTTAAAATTGTGTTGCAAAGAATTATTGGCAACAACTTGATCCTGAATAGAAATTTTACAATTATGTATATTGCTGTTACAACTCATCTAACAGCAGCATACTTTATGATGAATAATGGAAATAAACCGTCGTTGAATATTGTAGAGCTAGGCGCCGGCAAAAATTTTGGTCGGCGGACGTCTCTGATGAAACGAAAATCAGTAACAAAGGAATGTTAAGAAATGTCATAATAAAATACCGGAAAATACCAAAAATAGAAAGATTTCTTAACATTTTTTAAAATAATTAGAACATTTTTGCGAATCTTATTAGAGACCAATTTAAGTTATAAAAACATTGAGCAGCTACTAAGCCTCCGAAAGAGCATAGAAAAATCTTTGGAACATACATCAAATGGCAGTCTCCAGCGACTTTGCCACATGGCTGAACCTAAAACTGCAAGAGCTAAATACTGATGAATCCGTATTTGGTTCTTATATTTTAGGAATCTTAGAAGGTGACGAAGCTTATGAAGAAAAACATGAAGCACTTGAGGGAATTTTTAGTGAAATTTTGGTAAATATTTGATTATAAAGTGAATGGGCACATTTAATATGAAATGTAAATTTTTGGACTAGTCTGACAATATAGAAAGTGTTGTTCAGAGCATATTAGAAAAGTGGGAAGAGAGCAATAAAAAAATTGAAGAACCTTCAAAGCAGGTGCTAGATTTAAAGGTGGAAGAACAACTAGTCAAATTATTGGAGACAACCAAAGTTCAGGCTGTTGTAAAGGAACGACATTATACCGAAGAAGAAAAGAGAATACGGGAACAAATTTTGGCACAATACTCACAGGTATATTATATTGAACGATGCAAAATACTTTTACAAAATGTCTGAAAATATGAAATCGGCTCTTTCCTTTCCATATAGAGTACAAAAAACTGTAAAAAATTAGGTATATAACTATTTTTCCGAGCGTTAAAAAGTTTCCCTTTCAAATGCTTTAATTATTTCGATATTTACCCTAACCTAAATTTTTAATTTATATATTCATTCATCATCACAATACAATGACAATACATCTTAGCAGTAACAATCCTCAGTATATTACAGTAGGTAAATAAAAATATATAGCATATATATATTAGACCGACCCACAAAAAATGGTGCTTGAGTTACGGTTCTCAAATGCCATAAGATATTACACTAAATATGTCGAATTTAGGCTCCCCCTTTGTGAGCTGGTCTGTTTTCAAGAAAATATCTTAAGAGAGACACTATTTTATATGTTTTATTCAAATCTTTGTTTTGTTTTATGATGATTCAAATTCAAATAATATTCCCCATTACAATATTGCATTGATCTGATCAAAACCTCAAAAATAGATTTAGCGTTGTTCATTTTCAAGAAGTAATTTTAATGTTTTTTAAGTAGTGAAATTTTAAAAGTATAGTAATAATTCATTTAACTTAAATATTATTAACACTAATTACAGAATTACACACATTGAACATAAATATTCGAAAATAATATTTTTTAACTTTCAATACAAAAAATACAGCTTCCGTGGAAGTCATTAAAAATCAGTTGCACAGAAGCTAAAAAATATACTTAGTGCTACTCATGAAGTGCTGATAAATGTAATTCTTTTGGAAGTTCTTCGTTTATTTTTTTGCTGGCTAGTGATAGTTATTACCTAAATGGTTATTACCCTAATGTACGTTAGAGTATCTCGAGGAACAGCCTTTTTAGAGAATCTCATGTATGAATGCTTCTAAGTCGATGTTAATTAATGGACTGAAAACGTGAAATATATTATATTTTTTGGAATGGTCATCAGTTCTCTACCAGCGATTGGAAATACTGATTGATCTCAGTATAATTTGTGAAAAAATATCTTTGTTTTTGAAATGGGTCTCGAAATTATTTAATTTTGAGCTGATTACTGGAAAAATAATTTTCAAATTTTTTAGAGTATATTTGATCCACAAAATGATTTTTAGTGGGTATGAGAGGCATATTATTTTCGCTTTTATAGAAATAGGTGTAAAAAATTTCGTAAATTTTATCTTCTACAGAAAAAATTCTTTGGTTTGATTTATTTCAGAATTTTTTGGATTAGATTGCAGACATTTTTTTAATATTGTACTGAGATCAAGATTTTTAATCGTTGTTAGAGAACTCGTATTTCTCGTATTTAGTGCATTAATATACATCGTTTCAGAGGCAGTCTTACAAAAAAGTGATCCACGGACACCCTAATGTACATACATGCATATACTATTCAAACATATTTTATATACAAAAATTTTTATTATATTTGTAAAGACCGAAGTTTCCGAAGAGGAATATGAAGCTGCTCAATCGGATGAGGAGGCTGATAAGCATGGCAGTAGCAAATCCTGTGGATTAGAACGAAACACAAATTTTTCGGACGTTGTTGCACTGCAAAAGGAAAAAAGAGAACAGGCACGTCTAGATTCTGCTGCGAAAAAACAAAAAGATAAGGAAGATAGAGAGAAACAAAAACAATTGCGGGAGGAAAAAAAGGAGAAACGTAAAACTGTTAAAGGGGAGCGTAGACGGTAGCAAGTAGGCATATTGAAAAATAACATTAAAGGTATTCTTGCTGTAAAATTCTACCTTCTACTTCCTATTTTTTGTAGTTTGTATTTAATTAATAATTTTATATAGTTATATTTTCCATTTTCTTAATAAATTATTGTGTTGAAACTAATAAAAAAATCAGCGTTATTAATATTTAAAAATTTTACATGCAGACATATTAATATAGATATACATATGTGTGTATCTGTCTGTATGTATATATATGTATGGTGGTATAATATATGAAATATAACACATTCAAATAGACCCAGTCGGATTTGGAGTTAACTTAAAATTTATTCAAAGTTAACCGCAAATGAGTCAGACTCAAATGAGTGACTCAAAAGCTAACTATTTGGATTATAAAAATTTTCAGTTCTTCAATGTTAAGAAAGAGTGAATACTAACACACTTTGCATAAGTTTCAGTTCATTATGAGTTAGCTTCTGGTGCATAAATTAAAGAGCAACTATGAGTTAGTTGAGCAATTTTCTTATATTTTTATATAGTTTTTTAGAAATTTATTTTAAAATACATATTCATATGTATATATGTATATACATATGTATATGTTAAGAAACTCCTACAGGGGAAATACACAATAACCACACATTTTTAAATTGAATTTTAATTTTGGAAATGTATTTTTGACATTTATATTACAAATAATCTCTATATAATAGTATTTTTGTCAAATTTTAAGTTGTAGAATTCAAATACATATTGCTATAGTTAAATGCAAAAATATTACAACGTAAAATTAAAAGTTAGAAAATATTAGCAATACGCTTGTATCTGCAGTAGGACAATGTTTTAATGCTTCTTCATCTGAACATTTTAATTCATAATTTTAAATTTCAATTTTTTTGCTTTGAAAACACAAATATTTTTATTAGAATAAAAATAAATTTATTTAGTTTGACACAACCCAAACCTTAACGATTTCACCTCGATTCAACTTAGTGCATCCTGGTCTATTTTTGTTGAAAGAAATACATATCAATTGGAAAGACATACTCAGTTATTTTAAAATGAAATATACTATTGTTCGTGATGTAAAAATTAAGGCGAGAGCGTTTCGGCAACAAACACAACAAATACAATATTTTTTGTTGTCTAGAGTTGGATTTTGCCAAAATAAAATTTCTAAAATTAAAAAATAATAAATATTGGAAAGAAATAGTTTTTGTGTATTTCACAATATTTACCTATAAAACCGTAGTTACATTTTACTTGTGTCTACAACAGGACAACCTTTTAATGCTTCTTCATTTGAATATTCTTATTTAAAAACTTTTTATGGACATTTTAATTCATAATTTTAAATTTAATTTTTTCCTTTGAAAAAACAAATTTAATTTTTTCTTTATAATAAAATTATTTTATTTTGACACAACCCATACACTTTTTTAATAAACTAATAAAAATGAGCTGCCTTAACGATTTCACCTTACTTAGTACATCCTGCTATTGAAAATTAACCCCAGTATCCGTTGCCGATAATTACATTTATCAATTATTTATAATTATTTTAGAAAAAGAGTTTAGTAAATCATTGATACTTTTATTAATATGTTTAAAAAACTACATGATCACTTAATCCTTGTTGCCAAATATTTATTTATTGACTAATATTTTTGGCAAATTCGATTTAACTAAATTTTAAATTAAAGCCTTTGTCAGCTCCAAACTACTTTCTTAAATTTAGATGAGTAAATTAATGTTCTTCTTTATTCCTTAAAACTAAGATAAAAACTATTATCATAATGTTAATTTTAAATATTTTTATGTTTGTGAAGTCTACTTTTCGCTTTGTTATTGCGTGATTCTATCGAATGAAAAAGTTATCGAGATACTACTTGTAGATCATACTATTTCGAACGATTTTAATTTCGAATTGAACTTTCAATTATCCATATTTTATGAAAGCATTCAAAACATATGTATGTAAGTGTACATTTCTCCCAAATATATCATTCTAACCCAATAAACATTGATTCAAGCCTGTGAAAATGTTTGAAAATTTTCTTAACTAAATAATGTATTTTTCAAATTGTTTTCAAATTAAAAAGTGTAGCCTTTGAAATAAACATTATAATTTCAAAAAACGTTTAATAAAATATAATGTGTGATATTTATAAAATTTTCAAAGTTCTGTTTCAATTGAACTTAGAAAATTTTCTTTCAAAAAATAAATTATTTTATAAAAATAAAAACAACAATTGTTCTACAGCAAGGGAGCGAAAAAACGCTAAATATAGAAGAAATAATCGGAAATATAATTGAAGAATATGATAAAATGAATGTCTTGTTTTCAGGTGATGTACAAAAATATATGAAGTTTGCAATAGTTAGCATTATAATTAGGTTTTGTAAAATGCATGAAAATACTAATAAAGAATACTTGAAATACGTTTGAAAAAAATTTCAGTTCCAAGCTTATCTTTAGCCTTTTTTAAATTTGGTTTGATTTCTAACTGCCTTTTTGTTTGAGATGGTACGAATTCTCTATTTGAAAACAAAAATTTTCAAATTTGTTCTCAAAGGCTATGTATGATATTTAAATATGTTTTCAAATATGTATTTACATCATTTCAAAGGTTTTTGCTTATTGGGAAGTATACATAATAAAATTGTAAGTGTCAGTGTAGTCAGTATTACAAGTAATGTAGTATTTATTTTGGGTTTTTTTGCTTGCCATATTGTTTTATATTATTATTATGCAATTATGTTTTCTACAGAATTGAAAGAGTTTTTCGTTGCCTTATATCGATAGTTGCTGTAGTAAGTTATCTTTTCCATTTATTTTCACTCATGTCGTAATGTACTTAAGCATCATCAGCTTCATCATCTTCTTCAATATCGTCATCGTCATCTTCCAAGTCACCTTCATCCTCCTCCTCATCATTTTCTTCTTCAACTTCTTCCTCATCATCATCCTCGTCTTGATGATGTTGTGTCGCAGCTTCACATATTTTTTTAAGATTTTTCTTGTGTTTTACATAAATTTGTTCGTTCTCCCCAATGTCCGATTTTTCATCACTCAAAATATCATCGTCACTATTGTTTTTATTCTTTGGAGCCTTAAGATATATTTTTTGCAATTCAGATGGGTTAATTATTTTAACACGTCGGTTGCTAGAATCTATGGACGTGACTTTGATATCATAAAAGTCAGAAATGCGTTTATCGTCGAAACTGGAGTACTATATAGATAAGATAAGAAAAAAAAAGAAAATGTCTTAAGTCATACTTGCTGTAATGTATTTAAGGTTGTAAAATGTTTTTTATCAAATATTTAGCCAGTATCATTGGTAATACAATTAAAAAAATCGAAAAAGAATAATTCTTTAACATGATGAATTAGATTAAAAAATGTAGTTGGTATGTATTAGGGTATTCAATTATTCGGGTTTTGACTTATTCGGTTTATTTGACAAATAATTATTTGAGGTTTTATGTTAGCCGGTTAATAATCGGATAATTTAAAATTATTCGGTTAATCGAATAAAAGGAAACTGGATTAATAAAAAAAACCTGTGGCATTTTTACATTATTTTTCTTCCTATAACAAACAAAGTTATAATTCTCCACTTCTTTGAGTTCAAATCTACATAAGAACAAATTCTTAAAATGTTTCTGAAGTATTGTTATTGAAATCATCAAATAAATTTTCTTCATTATAGAAAATAATTAAGGAATTAATAAAGGAAGAAAATTTATTATAAAAATAGTGAATTTTGTATAAAATATACAGACATTTTACTGTTACATAGGATTTAGTATGAAATAAACAGTAATTTTTCTTAATCGGTTAATTGATAGAAGTTGTTCGGTTTATTCGTTATTTGGTATTTGGCAATTTTTATTTATTCGAACGATTAATCGTCAAAAATTGATCGATTAACCGATGGACGATTAATCGTTTGAATACCCTAGTATGTATACACAGAAATAGTAGTAAATACCAATTACATACATATTTATTTACTTGAATTTTTGTATTGAAATGATTTATATAATTTCGTAAAGAATTTTATTAGTATAGTTTTTAGCAATCTTTTATAATTTATCTTTTAACATCTGCTACAAATTTGTTTAAAATTTAAAAAATTAAAAAAATTTAAAAAAAAAAAAGATTATTAATGAATAAATGAAATGAAATAAAATGAAATAAAAATAATTAAATTATTTGAAATGAATTATTATTTGTAACCGTTTATGGCCAGTAGAGTTTATAAAATGGAAATAAATTACCACAATGGATAACTTACCACTGAGCTTGATGTGAATATATACTGTTCTGGCGTTGTTTTAACACGTATATATTTTTGTAGCAAATTATTGCTATCCTTGCGCCATAAACACAAACGGCTGTTTTTTTTAAGGTCTGTTCCTGTCAAATCCTTAACGTATACTAATAAATTTAAAGTGTCTCCAGCGTCATCATTACCAGATGTAGATGAATTCTTGTCAGAAAATTGCTTTTTTGGAGGTAAACTTGATGGTTTTTTTCTCGATGGACCGGATATGGCTTCGAATTCACTGTAGTCATAGTCGTCATCGCTTAGTTCATCTTTATCGTCATCTTCGCTTTCTTCATAGATAGCTTTACGTTTTGAATTTTTATTAGGTTGTCCTGAATTACCTTTACGTTTTCGTCCTCTCTTTGATGGGCCGCCACCGCCACTACATTTTTGTTGTTTTGATTTTTTACCGTTTTTATTGGATGCTGATGGTCTCCAATCTTCTTCGGAATCATTGTCATCACTATAATCTTCTTCGGAATCCACAAATGTGGTAGTTACCATTTCCGTACGACTGCGCATCTTATCAGTCTGGATATTATAACGAATTATAAAAAAATGCAATGTTTTGATTAAATTACGTTAAAAGTAGTGCTACTTAATATGTAGTAATACAAATAAATACATACATATGTACATGCATATGAATGTACATACATACACATAAGTATGTATTATACATATATTTCTATATTTGTTTGCTCTTAAATAAAAAAGAATTTTTACACAAAACTTGCATACATGTGTATGTTCCTTATTTTTACCACAGTATCCTTTTTCTAGTTGGAGTTATATTTTGTAAAGTACCCAACTAACTTTGTTGTCAAATTCACTTTAATTCCAAGTTTTTACCGAAGTGTTAAAACTGTTTAGAAAAGTAATGATTTATAATTTCAATTAATATTTAATAATTTTTATTTTTACTGATAAATCTATACAATTTTACATTGTTTTTACTCCTTCGGTTCACAAGTTGTTCGTATGTATGTGACTTCGTCAATGTGCTGCGTTTTAGTCAATTTATACAGGTATTTATGCACGTACATACATATGTATGTACTTTGTGTACTTAGAATTTGACATTTCTCTTTTTCATTTTTAGAGGTTCTGTTTTCTTCCCGGATATTTTATTAGTTTCCTTTTTATTTTAGATTGTCAAGAAGATATTTTATTTCACATCATTGAAAAAATACATACCATCACTTGGGTTAATTTTTTGTGTCTATATACATTTTATTACGGGGGATGATGCGTAAATATTGTGGAGAATAATACAAAAACAACGTCTGTTGCATCGTTATACGAAAAAGCTCTTTAAATACTATTTGTACTTCAGGATGGAGGAGTTTGTGTTTTCTTTTGAGAACAATATTCTTAATTATTTGCTGATACGTATCAGTTTTATATTTTATGATTACAAATCTTAAGCTTTAAGTTCATTGAGGGAACAAACCAATGGAAAGCTTTTTAACTGGTATTCTTCTTCATTTGGAATTAAAAGTTCTCAATACAAAAACAGAAAAGCGATTCGGAAATAAGTATGTATGTTTAGCAATTTAACGTACAATTATTAATTCGATTTTTCTTTTTCTTAAGAAAGTTCTTTAACATTGGAATTAAAGTGGTGATTTTTTATATCCATTGTCCCAAAATGACGAACGTTGTGCTAGAACGGTTCGAAAATGGTGGGAAATGTATATAAAGGCAAAGTGGGATGCAATTTTGGTGAGAATTGGTCCATTATTTCCCATAGACCCTATACAAATGGAATCTCCAAATATGGGCTTAGAGCTCATAAATATGTTAAAATTGAATCCTACGTATGTATGTATAAACTTCAAAATTCTACGTATAAAATAAATTTTTCTTATAAATTTTAAAACAAAATCCTGTTGATAAAATAATTTAACCATACTTGACCCAAACCCGCACAGTGGGTCTATTAATAAATGCACTCTAAAATCATAAAATATGTATTGATATCGATGTTGTGGTACAATTATATTCTATATACATCCAATCTTTATTTTATGCTAATTTAATTCATGAGGTTTATAAATTTATTTTTTTTTTTGTTTTTTAGCAATACCTGTTCTGATATATAAAATATTGTTCAAATGCTATGTTCTTGTCTTTTAAGGGCTTAATTTAAATTTATTCGCTATTTTTTAACCCAATTCGTAGATTTTGTATGGAACCAGTGCATCGAATGCGAAACAAATTATTCGCATAAAACGAGTCCTGATTATAGTTTTATTACATTATTATCGCATAAAATTTCATTAGAATGTACAGTTCTATAATTGTTTTGTTGTTAAATTGCAAAATAATACAAATTATAAAGAATTTGTTAGGAAACAATTAAATTAGATCAATAAATTATTTGGAGAAAATATGTGAATTTTTTTATGAATATTAAAGATGAAAATATATACCGATTTTTCACCAAAAATCAGAGCAAACTTGTTTTTCTATAAAAACATTTCAATTAATTGACGTTTTACCCGAAAGGGTGAAGACTTTCGCCCAGCAACTCGAAGCGACCCCAACTAGCAATACATAAACCATAAATTTTTGGAAGTTTTATTTGCAATTAAAAGTTTTAGAATTTACATAAACAGGCGTACTTACCAGCCAATAATTTAATCAAATTATAGATATTTGATAAAAATTTTTGAATAAAACAACATTTATAACTATTTATATACTTTTATTATGTATATTTACTGGTTTTCTATTGAGTAAATCAAAGACATTTGTAAAATAAAAAAAAAGTATTGCAATACTAATACATATTGTATAAATAAATGTTGGCATTTCTTTCTTCTGACTAAAATACCCAAATCGAAAGCAATATATTCGCATTTTTTTAATAATACTTTATGTATATATGTATGTGCATTGTTATATTGAGATTTATTTGGATTTTACATTTTGTATGTATGATATAGCTTTCATTTCTGTTCTATGCAAGTTATAACTTCGACTATGCTATATTTTGAGTAACATAATACAATACTGCAATAAAGAACATACAAATTACTCGTTACTAATTTACTAATTTTAATATTTGGTGTTTGGTAATATTTATAGTATAGAATAAAGTTTTAATTTATTTTCGGGAAAGAGTATTTTTAAGTATTTTTATTTAAGTTTATTTTTTCATTAACAAAACTTAAAGTAGTATAAAATTTATACATATTTGATAATTATATTTTATTTCACAGTTTGTATTTGTTTACGTCGATTTTTAAATAAGAAATAATATTCGTTTATGTTTATAATTGATACCAATGGTTCAATATGCATACTAATCTATCTAATTTTTAAATGTTAGAATAACACATTGGAAATTTTACAGTTTTTCATCTGAAGACATACTAAATAAAGCTCAAACCACCAGACTTTATTGCCAGGGTTTTTCGAAAGCTCAGATGAAAATGTGAGCAATAATTATAATTACTAAATTAATTCGATTTATGTATATAATATTAATATAATAAATGTATAAAACAATTACTTTTTAGTTTATTTGTAAACTGAATATGTATACATAGTTTGCATAAGTATATTTTCTACATATCGTCACCTTAATATAAAAAAGGCAAACATTTTAATTATAGTATGGTGAATGAAATCTTATTAAAAATCGGTATTTAATATAAAGGAAATTATTTATTAAAGAGTTTTTGTCTGACAAATTTAAAAAAGTTATTGGAAAACAAATTTTAGATACTTCTTTTTTATATTAGGGTGACGATAGACATGTACATATATGTATGTAGATTTTACGTATTTATATAATTTTTAAAGTAATTATTATCATGGTACGTATTTATTTATAAATAAATACATATACATGTATTTACTATTACCTGTTTTATACCCATTAAAATACAAATATTTTAAAAATGGTCTCTAATATTTTTGCATTTATCTGCATTAATTTTTGCCACTTCTTTTGAGGTCTAAATTTGAATCAGCTATACTCGAGTTGGTGTTCCAAATATTGGATTTACGTGATTTCTCCTATTGGTTAGGGGTGATGGATTGTTATTAACACTGCGTCGTAACGGCATTTGCTGACAGTCGGAATAAGAACGATCTGTTGTTTTAAAAATCAATGTATTCTTCACATTATTACAATAAAGTTCAAAACTCTTTCTTTTTCTTTGTGATTCATGCTTCGGCTGTTGTTTTAATTTGTAATTAATATTTGTGTAAGTGCAATTTTTATTACATATTATATTTGTAGGTGTGGATTGGCGATTATTTTATTTTAATTTCATGTAGGATGTGCAGGCATGCGGTTATTTTAAAATAAAAAAATTTTTAAACATTGATTAGTTAATTAATTATATGTAAATTTATATTTATTGTACAAGTGCCCAATTTCAATATTCTATTCTTGCAATAAAAAAGAACAACTATTTATTTGTATTTTCATTGCATGCTAATTTTACCATAGGATATTAATTACATATATGTATATAAGTAAAAAAACTTCAGTCATTTGTCAAAAAATAAACGAAAGTCATCAGCAAAAATTGTATACAGTATGTTCCTTATCCGAATGAAAGAATATTTCCCAGGAAAAGATTCTTGGGAAAATGAAAATTTAACATTTTCACTAAAGTTGTAAATATTAAGTGAGTCCTAAAGTATTCATAATATAGTCTTAAGTCTGTTTAAAACATAACATAATTCACTACATGCTACATTCATCATAATCTGCTCAATTGGTTCTTCAACGTACCTCGGAACTTCATACCCTGAGCTTCATTAATTATAGCCGCCAAAGCTGGATGTTGATAACGTTCGCGGAATATAGCGGAACCATTCTGCACATTAATAGAATTGTTATTATTGTTAACAGTATTGACGTTACCATTACCATTCGCAGTTTGATACTGATTTTGCATTTGAAGATTGTGAGAATGTAACTGTTGCATTTTTACAGGAGTATTTTGTGGTGTCATCGATGTGGGTGGTTGATTGCCGTTCTTATAGTAACGATTTTGATTGGGATCATACAGTTCGTTGTGGTTCATGCGATTTGACGATTTGATCGAGGTACAATGCTCTTCTTCGTTACGAATTTTTAAAACTCGCTCTTGAACACTATAACGAGATCCATGAAGAGCATTAACTTGATTTAAATTAGAGACTTGACGCACTTGTTTAGCTCGAAAACTACCACCAGGAGAATTTAACATGGTTCCACGGGAGGATGATACGGAGGTTTCTGTTGAGTCTCTTGGTGATGCACGGGCATGACTATTATGTTGTGGTGGTTCGCGATAACTAGACGGACGGTGTGTAGATGGTGGAGTATCGAGTCCACTGTCATGCGCAGAATAGTCCAGATCCGAAATTTGTTTATTATAAGAAGTGTTATTGTGAGTCGGCAACATGGGTTGTACTACGAGAGAAAATATTTTATTAAGAACTGAGTTCTAAAACATAAATTTAAAATAATTACCTGAATGTCGCATATCTGTTGGGGCCTTCGGCTTACGATATAACCAATCACGATCCAATTCGTTACCATTTTCTGTACTCATGTGTCGGAAAATGCGAGGACGTCTCAATTCTACTTCACCATCTTCAGCCTCTTCATCGACGATATGTGTCGAACCGAAGCTACTGTTTATAAATATACGCCGAGGTGAGCCATACAAACCATTGCAATTAGAAAATGAACTATTTTGTGAGGTATAACCATTCGAGTAACGACTGCTGTTGCTACTAGCTGAATATGGTATTTTCTGAGGAGTCGAATGATTTGTTGACAAGCCACTACTGTGATTATGGTTCTCATTATTTAAAACACTTAAATCTGGTACCGAATCAGAAAATAAGAAAGGGTTCGTGCCTCCATAACCACACATACTATTCGTGACCAACTTTTGACCTCTAACTCCACCCATGCCACTCCCATTCGTCATAAGCCAATCGTCCAAGGCACTGGAATAAGTGCCACCTAAGCCAAAATGATTACTTTGCAATGAAGCATGAGATACTGGAGCGGCTAATGACGCTCGTGATCTAGGACCTTGAGCTATTTTAAGTGCTTTGCGACGTTCCTTAGAAGTTATCGTACATTCCTAAAATAAAATAGAAAAATACACTAATGTTAATACGAATAAATGCATAACATACTAGTTGTAATTTTTGTTAACAAAAAAACGTCGTGCTATGTCAAGTCTTAACATTTGACATATTCAGTTTCTTACTAATTGTAACGAAAATTACTTCTACCTTATTAAAAAGTTCAAATATTTATATAAAATAGTAAATTGTTGCTTACCTCTAGCAGCTCAAACCAATCTTCGAGACCTTCATCACAACGTAGTAAAACTCTTCCTTCCCTGCCAAGTAGCAAACCAATCGCACTATATGAACGACGATTTAGCCATTCCACCTTTTCAACGTCAACTAGTTTGACCTGCAATAACGAAAAATCTTATTTATAAAGTCTGGATTATGTAAGTTCACAATCATTTAAAAAAACATTGTAGCTTATATTTTGTATTTATTACATATGCATATTGTTATCCATATATTGGATGAAACAATTTGAATATTTAAAAATTTTCTCCTTCGTTGAAGAATAGGTTTATTACATTAGTTGTCACCATTTAAAAGCATTTGTGGCTTTTAATATGAAGATACCTACAACCTCTGACATTCACTTTTTTAACCACTTCCAGACGGATCTAGGTTTAATATGTTTATGTAAGTTAAGCTATTTAATACATGAGTGTTTTATTTTTCTTAAGATTTTTGTGTTAACTAAAATCAAAAGAAATTTAGTACCATTTCTGTTAAAACTTCCAACAATGGCTTACAATAATAATTAAATTACGTCAAACGATCATTAACCCCTATTTAAGTTAAAACTTTTTGCTATTTTCATTTTCTCCACTAAGAAGCAATAAAATAAAACTAAAATGGAAAATATAATAGCCACTAGGTCTTTCGGTCATTAAATCTTGCCGAATTTCTCAACTGTAGCTAAAAACAAAAACATTAAAATTATTTAAAAATACATAGTTGAAATGAGTTTATATACATACATACATATATAATAAACAATCATTCATGTAGGTATAAGTAAACGTGTATTTTTACTCTACACTACAGTGGGGAAAATTATATACGTTTGCGTTATTTTTGTTTTTTCCTGTAGGTTTATAGTTGATCCCATATAGGGCCTCCATACGAGAATCATATTAAATAAACTCAAAATTAGTTCTACTATACATTTTTAAACATGTAACAACGTGTCACCTTTAGAAGATTTTTGCAAAACGGTCCAGTTCACAAACGGCCACTGTTAAAACCAAAATATTTTGGGAATTCAACTTTTGAGCCGATCTAATGTTTTTAAATAAGGGTACATAAGGCTGTCATATAATAATTAGTAAAATGATAACAAAGATAAAACTAATATGAGTACGGCAGAAATTATAGTCATAAAATTATGTCAAGTTTAAAATACACGCGATTCGTATGTAAGCTAGCTAAAATAAATTATACAAAAATTTTTTTGCTTTTTTGATAATGTGCCAAGAAAATGAAAAAAAAAATCTCAAAATTAAAATAATATAATTTTTATTTTAATTTCTATTGAATTCTACTCATTGAAAATGGAATTATCCATATGCATCCATATGTATGTACGTTAGAAGTGTACAAAAAAATATAAAATTTGCTCAAATGGGTCTTATTTTGTTTAATAGTGTCTATAACTAACTGGTATAAATTTTAAGTCCATTCAGATAACGGGAACCCACGCGGAAATTGACAAAAAAAAAAAAAAAAACACAGAAAACAATTTTCTCGGAAGTTAAGAATTTGTTCAATTATTAGAAATTATAATTTGAATGGAATTATTAACTAATAAACAAAATAAGATAAATCTTAGCAAAACCGATATTTTTTGGGCACTTTTAATGTCCATTCTTTGTATGTAGTTTGTATAACTTAACATCGTTGTATACAAGTTCATATGAAGATGTTTTTGTTTTACTTTTTACGTGATGAAAAATGTGAAATTTTTCATTTTTCTACATTTGAATATACTATTTAGTTCCTATAGATATAAATATGTCTTGTATGTACATATCTACGTATGAATGACTTTATCTTGAAGTCCATCGTTGCTGAATTAATATAAAAGTTGTTGAGTATTTGAGTACTTTCACATTATTCGTCACAAGTGTAAAAATTTACATGTACACAAATGTTCATTATGATTTTGTGACTTCATTCAGAGAAATTAAAAAAAAATACATACATATAAATGTATGTACGTATGAAGCAAAATATTTTATTTATATTTTTTACGTATCAGTTGTGAATTATTTTAACATTTTATTAAGCAGAAGTGATTCATAATTGTTGCTTGCCTGGGATGGGCTACACAGAGCAAACAAATTAATAAATTAAAAAAAAACGTTTAAGATGATTGATTTTGTTATTGTACAGACAACTGGCAAATAATTGAGTATTTTATGGGGTACTCGGTTCAAGAAGTAGTTACTCGATAATTCTGGATTTGTATTTTTACAAAACAGATATTTTAACACTATTTTTCATGCGCATTGAATATGATATTTACGATAATAATTTTTTTCACTTGTTCTAAAGCATTTTTAATGCATGCATTTTCTGTCAAATTAAGTTCATGTTCTTGTAGAATTGTATACTAAAGTCTAATATGAAATATGAATAATCCGACAAAATGTTTCGAATTGAATTGATCAATCAATACGCGTTGTATGTAGTGCTTGTACTGATTCATTAAACCGACAAATATATTTGGATGTACATATGTATATCCACTGCACATAAATATATTCATATGTATTATAAGATTCGGTTCAGACGAATATAACACTCTTACTTGTTTAGATTGGAACATTTTTGTTTTTTAATCTTATTTCTATGCAATTCTTTTCATTAAATAATTGTTTTACTTTTATCATTTGCAACACGCAAATATTGCTTATGAACAATAGTTTTATTGCAGCTAAAAGTGCATATTTCTCACAAGCAAGGCACAAAATATCACTAGGTACATTATCTTTAACATGCTCACAAATATTGCGAGTAAATCAGTAGTCAGTGTTACTTTGAATTAATATGTAAGAATTAATATTTTTGTTCTGTTACTTTAACTTTGATATAATATAAGATGAAAAATATACAAAATAAAAGTCACATTAAGTCTAAAGGTGAATGAATTGTAAACTAGCGTTGAATATCATGTAGATGAATGTACATACATACAAATATATGTACATATGTATGAATATGTACTTACTTTAATATGTTGTACAAACTTACATAAATCACACATAAAATGAATAATTTACAGTTTAGTTTTTAGAGATTTTTTTAGTTCATAATTCAATCCATGTACATACATATACAAAAATATACATTCATTTATTGTTGTAAGAGTAGATATACATGCATAGATATACTTGCATAGTATATGCAAAATTATGTATTTTCTAGATTTTTTGGGTGCCTAAACAAAATATTAATTACGTTATGTAGTTTTGAATTTAAAGGGGAATTCTTTATTTTATTATTCATTATTGTGTTGCAACGTAAAATCAAATGATTTTTTGCCAAAATTAGTGGTTAGGTTTTTTTTGTAAATATTTTATTAATCTGAATGTAACTTTAGTCCATTAATTTTGCAATTATATTATGTAAAATTCATGAAATTAAACCAAAATATGGAAAAAGTGAAACATTAATAAAATAAATCTTTTAGACAAAACTCTTTCGAATTTTATATTTCTTTATGAATCAATACTATTTTCTCAATAATCATTAAAATAATTATATGTAACTCACCTTAAATATAAATTGCCCCATGTCAGAGGCTCGGTCATTTGCCGAACCTGATGCTCTTTTAAAACAATGAAGATAGTCACGTGTCAAAATAAAATATCTGAAATAAAATTTGGAAAATAATTTAATAAAATTCGGCATAATGAATCAAGTTTAATGTAATGAATCAAGTCTATGTTTATAGTTCATACCTTTCCTTCCAACGTGAAAATAAACGATCCCGTTGTTGCCACAAAAGTCCACGTTTAATTGGACCCGTCATTGAGGATACGGGTACGCGTCCTGCCAACAAGGATTGCTAAAACATAACAGATTCAAATTAAACGTTTTTAAGTTATAATATAATATGTGTAATTTATTATTATAATGCATCCTATGAGTTTCTAGATACTAAATATAATTTCCAACGTCTGTTGAATGTCAGTTTTGCGTACCATCAGCTGTTTTCGTCTTATACATAGTGCAATGTCTGTCCATCCAAGATTTCAGATAGAGCCAAGTGCCAAATTTATAAATCTACATGTTTAGAGAAATATTCTTAATACTTTGACTCTATCATATATTTCTGATAGACATTGACATTTTTATTTTATTATATAATTGGCCACAGGTCCGATATCAAAACTACTTTAAAAATCAGTTTATATTGTTGGAGGTTATCATATCGTCGGTCTTAACGAATTTTACTTATTTAAAATAAAAATTATTTTTAACATTCCTAATTTAAGAAGTAATTCCTTTGCTAAAATAAGGAAAATGAATTATAAAAAAAATTATAAATAATAATTTATAATTTGAATTGACTTTATACTTGTTATTACACACCAACATAGGAGGTATACATATACTTCATGTTAATGACCATTATATTGATTTGAGTAAGCGTATTATTGAATTAATTAAACATAAAATTAAATAAGCATCTGTTCGAGGACTTTCTACTGAAAACATGTATAAATTACATTTATTTTACGTTAAAGTATTTAATATTACTACTAAGTATTTGTTTATTAAATTTAATATGTGCTAAAAACTCAATTTTTATAATTATTAACTAAACTTTTTTCAAGGATATTGAGGCATTCGAAAGTACAAAGCTTCGAAAGCATTATATTTACCATTCACCATTGCAAAGTAGTTTCAGTCCACTAAAATGTTTGAAAAACAATTTAAACCCCATTTTTTAAGGATATACGATATATGATTTCAAAAGCATCGATGTACTTTAAACAACATTCAAAAAGTACTACACATTATCTTTTAAAATTCTTTAAATTTTTCCTAAATGAAGAAAATCTCCCAAACTGGCAACACTATCAGTATAACGATTATGATACTGCCGGAATCATCGGAGCATGAAACTGCGATAAAACACAAAATCACATTTATATTGCTTCAGTATGGGATGGAAAAGCGAATTTAAATGCAAAAACGAATTAAAAAAATTTAATTTTTAATGATCTGGTTAAAAATAAAAGCGTAGAAATATATATGAACATATTTGTGTACACTATTGGCAAAAATAATAGGTCTATGTACATATATTTTTTACATAAAAGTATTCAAATTTGAGTACAAAATGATTATGCAATATTGCAAGGATTTATTAGTTACATATCTGAATTGAAGAATCAATATTAATAACCAGGGAAACCGAAAACATGCTCTAAAAAAGGTGTTTTAAGCGCTTTAAATATGTTAAATATACTCTTAAAATTTAAAAAATATGCTCTAAAAATAAAATTTTCCATTATTTTTTAACATTGAAAAGCTCAAAAAGACAGAAATTGTAATGAAATAATAATTGTTTAGTGTCATATTTCATCCTACACGATTTTTTATAATTGATTCATCTCATAGTTTGAAGAACTAGTTTAATAGAATTCCGTTTTACGTTCAGATAACCAATAAATAACATGAAACTATTTGGACCCCAAAAAACATATTTCAAACGACAAAGTTTGACATATTTCTTCCAATTGTATTCATAGCTTCTAAACTGACATTTTAATCGGTGTTGTCATAAATTCCATTAATTAGTTTTTTTAACTATAAACATGGATTGGTCTCATGAAATCAAAAGTAATCGGTTTTATGTCTGATTTAAAATGTAATGCTTTATTGAACAAAAAACTATAACATTGGTGAGAGTAATGTATTTTTTGCAGTTTTTAAGTTCTACAAACGAATTTTTTTTTTTTCAAAATTGTAAAATAGGCTAAAAAATTAAAAATAAAAAATAAAATTTTATTTTTTTTAAATAAAGTTTTGAAAATGTACAAAAACGAAAAAGCGAAAACTTCAAAATATGCACTAAAAGAGTAAAATATGCTCTAAAAACTCGAAAATATGCCTTAAATATGCTAAAAAAGTCAAATCATGCAAAATTATGCTCTTATGGGTAAAATATGCTCTAATAAATCGATGCCAAAATTCTTAAATTGGTCTGAAACGTGTAAATATCTTATCCATGAGTCCATACGACGCACCACAAAAAACATGCATTTGCAAATTTTGGTTTCCCTGTTAATAACAAATGTAGTTCCATTACTGCAATTTCAAAAAACTTATCTAATATAAACGTTGCATACAAAAATGCTTTTATACATATCTTAAAAAGACTACATATTGTTCAAGAATATTTTTAATTTAGTAACTTATTATAATTTCATCAAACATATGTAATTTTTTAAGTCGTAAAAAAGTAAACATATGTACATACATAATGTAGGTAATCTAGCCATACTATAAAAAAATGTTGTTTAGCTGTTTTCCCGTATATGTACGTTTAACAACTAAAACGGGTTATGGTTATGAGACTTTAATTGTTATTGATTTTAAAGTAAAGTGAAGGTATATTTACAGAACTAATATTTAATAATTATTTTCCATGGGAAATCAGTAGCAGCAACTAGTTATGATCTATCTATTGGTAACACAGGCCAACGACGAAAAAGCTTTATTAATAATTTGCATTAATTCCATTATTATATAATAATGGAATTAAAGGGCGTATCACCCACCAATCACATTTATATCTTTTAGATATTTAGTGACTATATAATACATTCTTGAAAAAGTTAGGATAACAGAATTACTTTAATTGGTGGCACAAAGGCTCTGTACTACTAAATTTATATTTTTGTATTTTAACGGTGAAGAATTATAACATTATAAACTTATCATCCAACAAGATATAAAATACAGAAATTGGCTAAAAATGATTACAACTTCCAGATCATTTACAACCTTAAAAGTTTATAAAAATAAAACATTTTTGAGTAATTACATAAAAATATAATCAATATGTTCATCGTGCAGAGAAACCCATAGTTCTATTTGAAACCAATTAATTATTAAATTTGTCACGTTAAAAAAAAATAAATAAAATATTAAAATTGAGTTGAAAAAGTTTTTTCCATTGATATTTTGGTTTATATTAATTTAGCCCGGAAGCTTAACAGTTAATAAAATGTTATTAAAAAAATGTGTATATATGTACATACACACATACATAAATACGCGCATATTTTTATTTTAAATCATGTATGTATGTATTTAAATTTTCTCTAACTAAAAGTATCTACAATTTCTGAAAAGTAATTCTGATATTTGTATAAAATCATAATTCAAGTATGACGAAATACCTTTCCCTTTATTATCATCTGCAAGTAAATATTAATATTTTAATTTTTATTAAATATGAGTGAAGGCAAAAAGATGTCATGTTTATATCTTGACAACTAAGTTTAAAGTCTTGATCAAATATTAGCTTATTTACTTATTTAAGTAAACATTTAATAACTACATACAGTGAATCAATTAAGTAATTTGCCTATGTAAAATTTTATAAATTTTAAGAAAAAACTTTATCTGAACAATTATTTTTAACAAAATAAAGTAAGAATATCTTATATTTTAATTTTCTACCATAAAAAGTAAAATCGTGATATTAATTAACGAGATTTTTGATAAAATGTGAACGTATTGTTAATTTTTAAGGTCAATAAAGTATTTTGCTTTTTTAGGTTTTTTGTTATTTTTTTTAATATTGCTGCATTATTTTATAAAATTTAATATTTTTATTACTCCTATATATTAGAATAACATTTTTTAGATATTTTAGTAGTGGAACGACTAAGTTTGGACATTTCTTAACCGATTTATTATCCTATATACTTATAAGAATTTTTCAATATTTGACTTAACATGAAATCTATCGTTTCTTTGATTTAATTTCGAAAATAATAAGTAATTTCGAATTGGATACATGATATATTAGGAAATCAATTGATTTGGACCTAGAAAAAAATATTAGTGGGTTATAAATCTATAGATTATAACAAAAATAATCTGGGTTTTTGGTCATTTTGTATTGATAAACAAAAACTACATTACGGAAACCCCATCTATTTGGGGAGTACAGTGTGAATTTTATTTAGAATTGTATAATATTGATTCTTATTCAATAAAGCTAACACTAAGTACCATCCTAGCCACTCTAAGTGTGGGGATATCACCGTATACCACTATAGAACTATTACATGCTAGAATTTTGATATTCTACCTCATATTTTGAATGCATTATTTTATGAATAAAATACAGTAGGCGTAGCTGGATTTGGATAGTTATTCTTGATTTGGGTTCTAACTATATATAAGTGTATGTATTAGCTGAAAAATATTGCTTTTGTGGATCTTAGATGATGAGATTTTTCCCGTACCACACGATAGTTCACTTTATATTGTTTCCAAGCAACCTAAGGTCTGTTTAGAGGTCTAAATTTAAACATAGTGTTCTTTTAAGTTCGTTTATGGACTTTGGAGAAGATAAATGAGGGCTTCAATGGTTTTTGCTTGGATACAAGTCGCTCTCCTTTGGCAGTTAAAGACAACTCAGTGCGTTTTTTTATAATTCTTTGTGTTATTTCATCAATTTCTATATTTTATATTTTTTAATGATTGATTAAACATCTCATAATTGAATTTCATTGATTTATACTTGTTCTAAAAATCTAAACTAATTTTTTATATTGGAATTGCCTCATTATTTTCCTTTAAACATTTTTAAGGCAATAACTTCACATTTTCACACAATGAGGATATGATTTTGGAAAATTCCAATTGAAAAATACTTAACACGTGTCCTTTTAACAATAAAACAATAAATTCCAAAAAGCAATTAAAAAATAATTTGAAAAATCCAACGAAATTAACTGGAAATTTCAATATGCAAAATACTTTATTGACGTGCAAATTCTGATGAAAAATAATAAAATGCAACAACAAATGCACCAA